TATTGGGGTACACTGACACTGATTTAACACAGAAAATATTCAACAAAAAAGGACAGAACACAGTATTGAGTAATGTGAATTCAAGTAAACAGGAATCACCTAGTACAGGCAGCGAACTGATAGGCCACGCAGATCCGAAGGCCACTGAGGTGGCTGGCAGGGAACCTATCAGCCCTACCCTCAAGTGCCAGGAGTACCAGTGATGCATAGGTTACAAGAATCACCACTTAAACTCAGCACAGGGACAGGTGACACATAGATCTAAACATGCATCACACAAAGGCCACACAAACAGAGCCACAGCAAGATGTAGATCACGGAGCATACCTCAATCCAGTCAGAATGAACTGACAGCCAGACCGCACGGTCTAGCAGCACAAAGGGACAGTAAATATCAAGAAAACAATCACAGAGAACGCAAAAAAAAAAAAAAAAAAAAAAAAAAACACCGGAGGCACCCGGCAACCCAGGATGTTTATCGCCGCTTTACCTGAGCGAGATCCCGTGGGGGTATCTCGACTTACCTAGTCAGCGAAGGACAGAAGCGTCACAGTGGAGATCTGATGCGTCACGGAGGCGGAGGAGCTCTAGGCGGCAGGGGAGGTGTCTACACGGAGATCCCGCTCTGATACCACTGTTGGGTGTTCACTTCTCCGGCTCAGATCACACTCACAAGATCACACAAAGCACCACCTTTAGCACCAATGGAAGGTAACACGCCTTAGCCAGCCTTAACCATCTCAACGCCCACCATCACAGAGACAAAGAGAAGATGAAAACCTAGATGAAAACCTAGATGTTTACTATAAATAGAAAAGGAAACTTTTGTTTAGGAAAGACACAAAAAGGAAAGAGAGACTTTTATTTAGGGGCTAAAGGAGTATATTTCAATATGTGCAATAACTATTTGGTGCAACCAATTTAAAGTAAGTATTAAATTTTTTTATACTCCAGGAAGTCTGGGGCAGGGGGGCTGGGGGAGCCTGGAGTAATTAGGGCTGAAACCCACTCCATTGAGTTTCAACCCCCTATGTGCCTAGCGGGTTTCAAACTCGAGACATTTCACTAGGCACAATAACATCGCAACCAGCTGGGCTGGAATGCTTGGTTTAAAGTAAGTATTACGTATTATACAATAAGTATCTAGTATAGATAAAATAAAAATTAGCTAATCTATTATTTGAACATTATTTATGAGTTGATGGATAATTTTTTTTCTTTCAATATTTATTGGGAGAAGACAATAAGATTAGGAATCAAGGAAAAAGATGAAAAAGAAAAAACGAAAAACATTTGAATGATAGGACGAAGGAAAATATTAAAATAACCTTTCAAAAAAAATGACGAAGGAAAATAAAGAAAGAATAAAAACAACAAATGTTTCTAATGGGTGGAGCCGACAAGAAAGAAAACAATCGGATGGCATTGGCCGGAGTAAATCAAGGAAAGAGAAAAAAAATTACTGTTGTAACTTGCTATTGCTATAGGCAGTTGCTTTCCAGTCGTTTGGTTCATTTGATGTTTTTTTACAAGTAAAGGTATTGGGATGATGCTTTTTTAAGTAGGCGGGCTAAAATGATGTTTTCATGATAGTACAAGGGTCTATTTGATTCTTTTTCCAATGACTCTATATCAATGTTGTGCACCGGTTTGTATAAAAAGATGTATAAGAAATGAGTATTTGGATATGATATAGGACGAGTGAGCTAGTCGTGCGCCAACCCAGGTTCACTCATCATCACTTTGTGCGCGATCAAATTTCGCGCATCAATAGCTCCTGCTCAAACCAACACTTTGAAAAAACAGTTAAATCCTTCTGTCAATCAACTGCTTAGCTCAATCAACATCATGGACGCTTTATCAATCGGAAACGAAACCAGACCACCCATCCTAAGAAGGGGTGAGTACATGGTGTGGAAGAACGTATTTCTAAATTTTCTGGAAAGCAAAGATCACTCTTCTGGCTTGTGGGACTTGATCACTAATGGTCCAGCACAACTTTGGATTGTTGTTGAGGAAAATCCCAAGAACAACCCCTTAGTTGGAGACTCTCAAAGACTGAAGACGAATATGATGAACATGATCACATCAAAATCCGTGTTGACCTTCTTGCCAAGACTTATCTACTCCAGGCTATCCCAAACGACATCTACATGCAGATTGACAACATGTTTACTGCCAAGGAGATGTGGAATGAGATTTTCAAGATCGTGCAAGGAACTGAAATTTGAGTGAAGGCTAAGAAGGCAAACACGTTCACTGCTAAGAATGTAGGAATACCTACATTCTCTTTCTGAGGCTGATCAACGAGATGAAGAAGATCAACGTTCATAAATTAAACATGGAGTTGAACGTGAGATCCCTATCTTCTCTTTCCCCTGAATGGAAGAAGATGGACATTCATGCAATCTACAACATACTAAGGATTTGAAGGAGATGGACATTCATGCAATGTACAACACTCTTGACCAATATGCAAATGACTTTTATGACAGTGTGAGTGTGAGTGATGAGAAAGGGAAAGCCGTGATTGACAAATTGGCTGACACCTTAGCTCTTATGCTTGAAAGACCATCCAAATCTGCTTCTAAGACTCAGAAAGAAAAGATGAAGGTCATTGCTCCGGAAATAGATGAAAGTGAAGAAGACGTTGAAGATGACACTGATGATGAACTCAGGGATAAAGTGGTGCAAGAATTTCCATAGGTATTCAAATCTACATTGGATCTTCCACCCGTAATACCCTATGATCATGCCATTAATATCATAGATGGAGCTATCATACCTAACATTAGGCCTTACAGGTATTCATATGACCAAAAGAGATTAAACTTTCTAGGGGGTCACCCATCCTAAGACTACTCCCCTGCAAGCACGCTTAACTTGGAGTTCTTAGTTAATGAGCTCCTTTAAAAAGAGATGCACCTTGTTGGTAGAGTAGTACTATTAATCTGTTTAAATTAATCTCAAGTATTACATTATGAGCTCTACTTATGCAAGAAGGCAGACCCATTGCATTTATGAGTAGAGAACTATTTGTCAAACATCAAACAAAATTTGTGTATGAAAAAGAACCGATGAATATAGTACTGGAAAAAGATTGGGGAGGCATTTTGAGGTCCAAAAATGGAGACCTTACTTATTGGGGAGACATTTTGAGTTCCATACAGATCAAAGAAGGTTAAAATATCCCACTGAGCAAAAGATTTTGGGGGAGGAACAAAAGAGGTGGATAGCAAAATTGATGGGCTATAATTTCACTATTAGATACAAGCGAGGTATTGAGAATAAGGCGGCTGATGCTCTTTCCAGAAGACGTACTCTAAAATCACCATCCATAGCAACTTGCCAGGAGTGGGAAGGACTAGAGGAGGAACTAGAGAAGGATCCTGAGTGTGGAGACATTATCCAGAAGACTTTAACCCAGCCAGACAAATTTCTTCATTACAAGATAAAAGGAGGTTTGCTTTACTTCAATGGAAAACTGGTATTAACTAAAGGGTCTAGCAGAATACCAAGTATTTTAGAACCATGAAAAGGATCTCAAGCTTATTCTATTGGTCATGAATGAGATATCAAGAACTGTATTCAAGGGTGTGAAGTTTATCAGAGGAATACATATCAAGCTCTAAAACCTGCAGGCGTGTTTTTCATATTCCTAGCCATATTTGGACTAAAATCAGGTTGGATTTTATAGGTGGACTATCTAAATCTGAGGGTAAAGATATTGTTCTGGTGATTGTAGATATGCTGACTAAATTTGCACATTTCCTGCCATTATCACCCTTTTAATGCTAAGGGAGTTGCAGAGCTATTCATTCAAGAAGTGGTTAAGATACATGGATTCCCTAAGTCAATTGTGAGTGACATGGATAACCTTTTTCTAAGTTCTTTCTTGTCTGAATTGTTTAAATTAACAGGCACCCAACTGAAATACAACATTGCATATCATCCCCAGAGTGAAATGGTTACCCTGGACAGAATTTTGGTACAACACCAACTATCACATCTCCCTAAAATGTATATCATTACCAAGCATTGTTTGGACAAGAGCCTCCTGCAATAATTAGAGGGGGATGTCAGCTTTACTTCGGTGGCTGAAGTCTCAAGATTAACAGCTGAAAGGAATGAGATACTAAAGGAGTTCTCTACAAAAGTGCTGACACCTACAATTACCTATCAAGATCTTCTTAAATGCCTTATAGAAGAGTGTGAATTGCAAGTGATGCCAGAGGAGGTGAAGGATGTCAGATTTAATCATGCTGGAGAAAAAGAATTCATGATGCATTGGAAGAACTTATCTTATTTTGAAGATTCTTGGAAAACTGAACAAGTGATCAAAGTACAATTCCCAAAATTCTAACTTAAGGACAAGTTGGATTTTTAGAGGGAGAGTCTTAGGGGTGGACCAGGCCTGGCCGGGCTTGGATGGTTTTGGATAAGGCCGGGGACCGGCCCGGGAGTCTACTGGTTCCGGGCCGGTTCCGGTTCAATTTTTTTTTTGTGTTTTCTTATTTATTTCAACCCCCACCCCCCATCCCCCAAACCCCTCGGAAACACCCAGCCCACCCAACCTAAACCCAGCCCAAACCCAAAAAACAAAAAGAAACAGGCCCGAACGGCCGAACCGGCCGGGCCGATTCACCTTTTTCATGACCCAAAACCGGAACCGGTTACCCCCTCGGGCCGGGCCTAAACCCGGAACAAGATCCGATTTCCCGGGCCAAGCCGGTTCCGCACAGTAGCGGGCCGGGCCAGTTCCTAGGCCGGGAAGCCCAAACCAAGTCCATGCCTAGGGAGTCTTGATAGGGATACGGCTGTACTTAAAGAGGATAAATGCTTTGGCAAGGTCTATTCTAGAAGGGGGGGAAACCGGAAAAGAATAGTTAGTTGATAGTTATTTCAGTTGTGAGTCTGGTCTGGGATAGGCAGACTAACAGACTGGGAGGATTGAGATTCATTGTCTCTTTCTTTGGGGCTTCGGTTGTACTCAACTTCACCATTAATAAAGCTTTGAATTGTTTCTTGAAATACTTGTTCATTTTCTGTAAATTTCTCTATACCTGGACTCCTGGAGTAGTTCTATCAGCAAGACTGACAACATTAAAAACAGTTCAAGGAAATCAACAACTTTGTCATATTAACTAACATGCTGGTATGAGCAGCTGTAGCAAAGCAAGCAGCGTCCATCCAGCCATGAGTAGCTACATTATTGTGCAAACAAATGAGCAAACTCCCACTAATTTCCATCATTGCCCCATCAACTCAACAAATTCCTAATCATGAACCAGTAAGTAGCAGTAGTAGAAGTTTTAAAAGTTTTCGGGGTCGCCATTGCTTAATGTTACCATTCTTCATACCCTTATATACACCCCCCTACACTATGGGCATTATAACAAATCCTAATCTCTGTCAACAAGGTCTGCATTTCTTCATTAGAGAATTGTTCACATCACATCCCTGAACTTGCTCATTTGGTTGGAACCCCACAGTAGATGCATTGTAGGTTCAGTTCAGATGTTTGGCTGCTCAAATGGGACCCGTACAAACAGCCGTCCATGCAGGCTTACAACAGCTGAAGTCTGAAGAGGATCTATTCTCGCAGGTAAGCTCACTACCTGTCAAACATAAAGAACAGAAAATCCCTCAAAAAATCATCTCCAAAGAACAAGCATTTACCAAGGCATTATATTGCAAAATCTCCATTTTGCTCAAACTCTGGTATTTTTAAAATAAAAATCCGGATAATAGCCCCAAATTCGAGTAGACTGTAGAATAATCCCAAAATGGAAAAATAGGACTTTAGTTTTATATTTCCAAAATAGAAGTAATTTATACTCTCTTCCTATTCTACCCTTACAAATAAGAAAATCGTATTTTTACTTGAAATAAAGAAACATAAATAATACAAATATATTTTTTATATAACGAAAAGCTAAATAATAAAATAAGTAAAGAATCTAAAAAATCTAAAAAATAAAAAATTAATAAATAAAGATTATGCAGGCCTCTACCGCCTTCAAGAACTGCCACCTAAGCTGCCAGAAAAAATGCAATCTCATGTTACTTTTCTCTGAAAAGTAATGAGGCTGACATCATTACTCTGTAAAAATGCCAAATTTTACTCGGAAATTGCCATCAAGATGACGTTATTTTTTCAAGTTGGCATTTTTTTCCCGGCGGTCGGAGGTGGTGGTACTAAGGCGGCATGGCAAGGGTAGGATAGGAAGAGTTACTCCTATTTTGGGAATTTAAAACTTATGCTCTTATTACTGCAATTCAGCTTTTACTTACTCCTATTTAGGCAATTACACCACAAAACAAAAAATACAAAGGCATTATATTTTGTCAAAGAAAACTCTTGCTCTGGAAAGACCCGACATATACACTAAAGAGAGTGGCGACTAAACAAGAAAGTTTCTATGGAGAACAACCATCCCCCCACGGCCCACCTGTTGACATACCGCCCTGTGTGGCAGGCAGAAATTAGTTTCCTACCATCCATGATATGTTGATCGAGTCCCATCAAATTCCATACATCTTACGGTGCAACATAGGATGTCTCCTCTGCATTGTGGGAGGACAATACTCTCCATAGAAAACCTTGGTCAAGGACTCAAGCAGGTCCTTAACATTGGGGAAAACAAGCCATTGACTCTTGACAGGTAGGGGGAAATAGATGGCACACCTTCTTGAAAGCAGTAATTCCCCAGGGATTGTCGAGCTGTTCAGGCTGACCCGTTATGACCAAGCGTCCAGCTGGATCAGATTGAACCCGCACCTGGGACAACCATCAACATAGATAAGTAACTACTCTGTGATCGCCATATGACCCGTAATGAAATAATTGCATTTCTTTCATAAATACACAAGAGTAATAAAAGTGACGTATGTAGTCTTATATAAATATAATGGAGAATATACCCTTCCACCATAAACTGAGAAACACGTATACTCTTACGCTCTTTTGGGTCCAAAAATCTGTCAATGCTAACTTCTAGGTCTAAATGTCTAATAATGCCCTTCAGTGAAAATTGACATCAAAAAGCTAGCATTACCTCTCCACCACCCACTTACACCACTGTACACACAACAGTCTGCCAAACAATCAGATAATTTTCCGCCTCCCACTCTACAATCATATACTTCCTCCGTTCTTTTTTTGGTTGCAAGGCTTTCAATTTCACGTTTGGCAACACACAACTTTGATTATCAATATATTTAATTCTCTATTTGTAAAACATTTAAAAGAATTACATAATATTATAATGAGAAGACTCTTATAATATTTATAATAAAAAAAATAATAATAATGCATTAGTAAATCAAATGTAGTCACAGTAGAGCACATGAAAAGTGTAAAATTTCTAATGTTGCAACTATTTAAGAACAAAGGTAGTAGTATCTTGTGAGCACCTTAGTTTATTAACCGTCTAGAGCAGCCGGAAATCTCAAAAAGAAAATGTCTCCAAAACACAAATTGCATCAGAGTATCAAACAAATGAAAAATTCCTATCCGACGGTGACCAGCGAATGTGCTGCTATGTCACAATAAATAGAAATAACATGTGTGTAGATACCATCAATGCCTAACAGAGATATTGTGGATGATGGTCCTGATTAGGAAAGAAAGTGGTAACACCTATTCATATGCGCCGTCGACGCTCATCCTCAAATCTAGCAGCTTCTAGTGGAAGCCAAAAGATTATGTACCTTGCAACCAAGTTTGTTAAACTCGAGATCCTAGCACAGATCAGAAGGGGTCTAGGAGATCGTAACTCGGATCGCAAGATCCTCCCATGCAATATGTATTTTCTCTAAATGTGCATTAGGTGAAACTTAAATGTGCATCACAAAGGGTACAACACAGTAGCATTACATGAAACATGTGAAGCTGAATTGTGCTTTAGATGAAAGCAAAATGTGCATTAGGTGAAACTCGAATGTGCAGAATATAAGGTACGGATGCGGTGGCATTTTTGTACCTTTTATTCTACACATTTCAACATCACCTAATGCACTTTTGAGTTTTACTTTTTATTCTGCACATTTCAATTTCACCTAATGCACATTTCAGTTTCACCAAATGTACAATTCAGTTTCACATAATACAATCTAATGGTTCAGATTCATTCTCATTTCTCTCAAGTGAGTCCTTTCTCACCAGAACCGCTCCCCACATAAATATATACATATATATAATTCAATTCTATGTAAACACTGAATTAATAGAACAACCATAACAACATCTAAGCCTTGGTCCCAAAAGATTTTGGGGTCGGCTAACATGAATCGATACATGATATCTCAACCAAAAGGAAAAGAAGATAAGAAAGATAAAAAGATAAACTATGACAAAAAAAAAGATATGATATACATAAAAATGATATAATAAAAAGGATAAAAAGAAAAAGAAAAGGAAGATAGGGAAAAGAGAGGAAATATATACAAGAAAGGGAATGCTAATGTTCACCGATGGAGTAGCGTGTCTGGTTAAGATAGAGTATTTCAGATCAGATAGGGAGTATTTCAAAACCAAAAAGGAAGTTTTCACTAACATATGATGGAAGGTTTGGTTTGTTCCTTATCCCTCTAAAGAATCAATTGGTTACGTCCTGAATGAAGGTGTAAATCAACATGAGCAGATACTAAAATGAACATGAAGTGATGCAGTTGCATAATAAATACTCCCTCCGTACCTTAAAACTTTGCCATCTTTCCAATTTGGGTTGTCCCAAAAACTTTGTCACTTTCCGTTTTAATCAATTAATTAGTGGTTGTTATTTCTCTCTCATCTGGACAAACCTCAATCACATAGTTTTCACTTTATTATTCTCCATGTCGGCCAAACATGGCAAAGCTTTAAGTGAAGGAGGGAATAGCTAATAAAGAGAGTGCACTGACAAGCACAAACCTCTTCACGCAGAAGTCCTGGAACTAGGGCATAGACCTCGAAACAGTCTTTCTGTTTAAGATGAGAACTTTAGTGAGACCTTCCTTGAGAGAGAGAGAGAGAGAGAGAGACTATATATTAACTTTCTACAATGAAAAACACTTACTGTTTCCCGAATGTTGATTTTCACCCAATCAGCAGGTGGTCCAACATCAACAACTGTAGTTGTCAACCTGGATTGTTATAAACAAAACGAAGGTGGGATTATTATAATTATTTGGCAAAGGAATAGTTATTTACAAGACAAATCACTAGATGATGTCAATCCTCACGATTCCAGTATGCATTGTGGAAATAGACAATAGTAGTGGCATCCTTTTTGCTTAACACAATCCAATCATTCATTATGTCAAACAACAAACCTCAAATCAAAGTTGTTAAAACTGCACAAAAGCATGCTTAAAACTGCACAAAAGCGAGCAGCGCACTGGGAGTTGCTTTTAGACAACACATATGGGTAAAAATCAACACATTTTCATCGCTTTTGGTTAAATCGCTTAAGCACAAAGCCAACACTTGAGTGAGGCTTCACATGAAAAGCGCACTGGTGACTGATCAGCAAGTTTACTTTTTTTTAACTTGGGTAGTTGGGTAGCGCAACTCTTTTCATAATGAACTTAAACATCAGATGATTCAGACCTCTTCCATCGGAAATACTCTTTATTGCTTATCTTTTTTGCTCAGCTACAAGTAAAACAACCCTAAACTGCATCTTCCTCCTTCATTAGGACTGTTCTACTTCTTTTTTATGCTTTTCTACTCTGTTTTTGTTTCCTTTGTTCTGTATTTGCACACTGACAACATGTATCTTCATCTTCTTCTTTTCTCCTTCCATTTTGAGTTCTATTTTTACGAATTTAAATCGGTATAATACTCCAAATCAAATTGATAAGTTTTAAACTTTACAGTTTGGATTTTATTATATTTTCTTCTTCTAATGATGTATCACACCAATGTGTGTGGCACAATAAACAAGTTCCTGAGATTAATTATGGTCCATATACTGAAAATAAGATGAGGCAATAATTACTTTGCCAGCATTTTGGGAATTATCAAGGTTAGGTCCTAATTTAACTATTAGCTTGCCAAGTCTACTATAGCTTAACATCTTTTAACATCTACCATTTTTTAAACATCACAAATTCAGGAAATATAAGTTGTACTTTCTTTTGTAAAAAGGTTTTTATTTCTCACTCGTTCTCCATTTATTTCATTTTCATTGGCAGTCAGTGGCTTCTTTTCATCTGTTAAACTGCTCTGTATGATTTGTTAGTTTGTCTCTCTTATTTTGTATTTATTATTGGAAAAATTGATAAGAATAATCCCACCTTTCACTGGTCTTCTCATAATAATCTCACCTTTACGTAATCCAAAAATAATCCCACCTTTGCATCACATCTTCTTTCATTGGACCCTGACCTATTGATGACCTACAAAGGTAGGATTATTTATATAAGATTTTCAAAAAAAGGGTCCAATGAAAGAAGATGGGTGCAAAGGTGGGATTATTCTGGGATTACGTAAAGGTGAGATTATTATGAGAAAACCAGTGAAAGGTGGGATTATTCTTATCAATTTTTCTTTTATTATTTAGAATGTTTCTTGCGGTATTAAATAATTGTGTATGTACAAAGAATGTCTGAATCACAATCTAAGAGCCACAAATTAAGGGAAAAGAAAAAAGATTTTACTCATGGACTTGATGAGAATGAAAAGAAGATGATGGATTCTATAATGATCATAGTGAAGATGTTGATGCTTTAAAGCGGGATGAGAGAAGAGGGTCGTTTTGACATTGAAGATGATGAGTGATGATTATTTGTACTTAATGAAATGATGATTTAATTACTATTCACGTATTTTTGTTGTAACTTTGTGTTATATATCTTTCATTTTCTTTTTTTCTGCAAGTGTCAATTTTTTTTTATAAAGCTGCACTTCGCTTGGTGCTTTCGCTTTTAAGCAATGCCGCACCTCATTGCTTATAAAAAGTTTGCCTCAAATAGTAAGGGACCTTGACTAGTTAGCACGAGTATCTTTTCACATCAGTCGAACTTAGACCAAGGTAGTCAAATCGTGAGGCGCATTCAAGGCGCTAGAGTATTTATATCGCTTGAGGCGCAAAAAAGCACTCGCCTGACTCGTGTCAAGCGCACTATTTAGAAAATGTTGTGTATACTATTCTAGATTGATCAAATATGACATATTCAACACCATATTGAGCTAAATGCATTAAAAAGTCATGTTTCTCAAAAGCAAAGTCAACCCACAAAAATAAAGACATGGTTCACAAAAACAAAACACCAAGTAGGGTCTGTTTTAGCTGATTTTGCAGTTTGAGGACTAGGGGTAGCATAAGTTGTGTAGTGTATGAAACTATTAACTAAATTAGATTATATGAAGTTTTATACAATTAAAATATGAAACGATAATAAGAAGATATAGAGTTTATGGACTGTATAATAAGGTGAAGCAAAGAGAACTATAAAGTATAGAATATATATGAAGCAAAGAGAACTATGAAGTATAGAATATATAAGAAGCAAAGAGAACTATAAAAGTACGGGAAGAAGATAGGCTGAAAGAATAAAAAGAAAGGATCAACAAGAAGATGACAAAATAAATGCTGACTACAATCTGAAAAAGAGAGAAGAACATGGGAAGATGATGAAGAAGAAGACCCTTATGGGTTGCTGACTTGCTGGCGTCTGTGGGTTGATCGTTGAGTGCTATTTCAGCACTGAACCGGTTGCGTGAGTAGAGAATAGAAGAGGGGACTTAAGCGTGTGCTTTATTATTTAAACTAGGATCAAGCAAATAAATAGGCTGAAAAGCCTTTCCCAGGTCAGGGGACTTAAGTGTGCGCTTTTCAGCGCTTCTGCGCTTATTGCACCTCACTCAGGTGACTGCGTCTGGGACTCTAACAGGCGCTGACCCTCATATGCACCTCGCCTGGTGCGCTTAAGCACTCAGGCGCGCACTTTTGACTACGCTGACTTAGACCAAACAAATTGGTGGCAATGATCAAATATTAAGAATAAGATGGGCAGGAAATAGCTGTACGCCTGTACACTGTTGCCTACAAGGATTAAGAGGCCCCATAATGTATGATACTACAATGTTCGAATAGCTGTAAGTAATGGTGTGTACAAGAGATGACAGCAGACTTGATTGCTTGATCTTAGGCACAATTATCGCAGTGCATACATAAAACGTTGCCAATGATAAACAAATAAAACACTTCAAGATACTATGAACTTAACTGCCTAGATATCTCAGTTCGTGGTGCTTTCACAGAGAGTTCAACTTCATTGGGTCTCTTTTGTTTGAGCGAACCTGCATGTGTACCAAAAGCTCATATTCAAAATATACATGGGGGTAAGAATGTGATTTGGAAACTACACTAATTCATGAAACCTTGTATACATATTTTTGTCAGTACCTCCATCCCATTAAAATTTGGACGTGAAGAGGTGGTGCAGTTATTTAAAAAAATTGAGTTGTGTGGTTGGTGTCGAATTGAAAAAGTAAGAATAAAGTAAGAATGATTAAGAATCACACAAATTTCACCATGTTTGATGTGATCATGTGGATAAGCTTAATGGGACAGACGAAAAAAACGAAAAAATGGGACAAAGATAGTGGGACGGGAGAATAAAGCATAAAACGGAACAAATAATAGAACACAGAGAGTGATGAGACATTATTCTCATTTGGCAATTACACTTATTCATGAATCCGTGGATAAATTGTTTGGTTATGAAATATAAAATAGAAAATATAATAGAAATACCGAGAGCCATGAGACTTTATTCTCACAGGCTAACTGCCTTTTGATTTTTCTCCCAGCTTTTGATTTACCAATCAGATATACTATGCACGGAAAATCTCATATCCCTGGATTACCTGCAGCTTGGGAATATTTTACATGGACTTGCCTTAAAGGAAATTTTTCCATAATTGGAACCCATGACCTCATGGAAATTGAGGGTCACTTAAGGCTACATCAAGGCCACTCTTCATCTCAGATAATAAATGCAAACAAAGAATGTACGGTGACTATGAAAGCAGAAAAGCCAACTGGCAATCTTTATAGAAAAACGCCCTTTACACTTTGTGCAACCTAATGTTTTGGAGTGCTCCATTAAGATTGTCATGTTCTAAGAAGTTCATCATTTTATATCTTAACTTACCAATTTCACTTTGTCACATTGAAGTAGTGTGACATAGTTGGGCCACTTTTAACTACATTGTCTATAGGAGTACCAGATTTATATTTTAGTCTTTACTAATACACTTCAGTTTTGTTGTGATCCCTCTATTATACTAGCATCACTTTTAGCCCATACAGAAACACATATTTTTTGTTTTGGACCATCTAATGTATCCAACCTGTTTTAGTCCCTACATTGACGTGGCATATAAATCATTGCGGCATGTGTTGCTAACATAGCAAGATGAATGGGTTGTTAGCATGACAAGTCTGTTATATCTAATGGATTACTGTAATGACGAGGACAGAAATAGTAAAATAAGATCTTACATGAACCAAAACCATTAAAAACATATGCACAAAAAAACACAAAATGATTTGAGAATAAATACTATAACCACATAGATGATTACCTATAGTTTTGAGATTCTTTTCACGTTTGACTGTACTGCTTGGGTTCTTGTCCTATACACAGAAAAGTACAAGTTAGTACATATTACAGACATACTTGTCACGGCGGTAAGTCGAGTCGCGGCGCCAGCCGACCGCCATATTGCCTAGGCAATAAGGCGCCCGCCTAGGCGACTAGTCACCTATATATGTATAATATATTATATTATATATATAATTACATATTTATATATATAATTATATATATATATATATATAATATATTATTTATATTATATTACTAACTAAATTGTATATAACTTAGAATCGAAACACACAATTAATTAATAATTAAAAAACTGTTTATTAATGAGAATTAAGATTTATAATGTCTATCTCATATTTGTATATCACCAATTTGGCACACTATCACCATGTTCACCGTATGTAATATATTAATGGTTTTATAGTATGTATATATATATATATTTAATACTATACGCATATATTGATAGAGTGGTCTTCTTGTCAGGCCGGCCTGACGGGATGCTCCGTCCGGCCGAGCCCGTTTGGGCACCTTCCCGGTGGATTTTTTTGATGAAATTTTTTGAGCATGTTCCTCATCAAGTCTAGTTTGTCCATACCAAATTTCAGCTCAAAATTCGATCGGGAAGGCATTCAAATCATTTTTTGAAGTTGACTGCAGTTTTATATGTATATTTTGACGCAGTCAACTTCAAAAAATGATTTGAATGCCTTCCCGATCGAATTTTGAGTTGAAATTTGGTATGGACAAACTAGACTTGATGAGGAACATGCTCAAAAAATTCCACCGGGAAGGTGCCCAAACGGGCTCGGCCGGACAGAGCATCCCGTCAGGCCGGTCTGACATGAAGATTTGTCTATATTGACATACATATATATAATAATTATATATACCACTTAATTAATAAAAATATTAAAAAAAATAAATCCACTACACTGCTAGAGAATAAGAGATGAGAGATAAGAAATCGGTGGACTCAAGTCACTCAAGTGGGCCTGTATCTCTTCAAGCCTTCAACGACGGACTGGAAGATAGCGACTGACGAGATCGGCGACTTCTTCTGCTTCCTGAAGATGGTTCGTTGTTTCGTCTGTGAGTTCTGAGTTCTCAACGACTTCGCTTCGAGCTTTGTATTTAATTAGAAGGCCACCGGCCCACCGCCTTAAATCATTAATTAAAGGAGTTCTCTAAAAAAATTAAACCTTAACCTACTCAATTATGGGCCTGCGGAATGTGGATGACTTTTCGACTGGGCTAAAGTAGGCGGCTACAGGTCGCCAACTTCACGCCTAGATGACGCCTGGACGACGCCAAACGCGACTGGTATTCTTCCAGCGAGGCGAGCTTACCTGGCGAGCAGTCCCCAGCACCAGGATGCCTAGTTGGCGACTAGGCGACGCCGTGACAAACTTGATATTTACAGAGCATTGAAAATTGACAAAATTAATGATAATCTGAAGACACATATCCAGGATGAGTAGAAAGAATATCACAATACCTTTATAAGTGTCTCACCAACCTCACCATATTTAATGAGACGTTGATCTTGCCATCCTTGCATAGCACGGGCAGCAGCATCCCTTCGTGCTCTGCCAGATCCAGGAGCTTGATGACCACTTCCCTGAATATATATTGACACTTATTAATTTGCAGATCAGTTGCTCAGAAGGGGGCACAAATGGGCTTATTTGAAGCAATATCATTAAGATATCAACAATGTGAAGCACGTCTAAAACGTTAAAAGGGCGTAAAGACATACATATATATTATTATCATGTCAATTACGGAGTATTGTTTTCCTTCTACGAAGTACATTTTGAATTACATCTCTAGTTTATAAATTTGGTATTAAGGCCCGATTCTTGGTGAATTTCCATATATCTAACTTTACGGGTGAAAAACAAATACTCTTCGGGATTTACGGCCTGTTTGGATGAAGGGTTGGGAGGTGTTAGGAACGGAAGTGTTAGTAAGTGTTGTCTCGGGCCCGGAAGGGAAGGTAAGTGTAAGTGTTAAACATAATCTTACCTTGTTTGGCGGAGTTAAAAAAATGAAGTGTTAATAATGGAAGTGTTTCCACTTAAATTGACAAAAATATCCCCATACCTTTTATTACAACCTTTCTTTCTTTGTTACTTTACAACTTAACTTGAATGCGGGACTTGCTCTCTTCTATGAAGGAATCTATTACCAAATAAAAGTGGGCAATAGTGCGACAGAAGAGAAGGCTGAGCAGAGATGAAAGGCAGAGCAGCGGACTGCAGACGTGCGGCAAAGGGGGAAATGGTCGATAATTGAAGGGGGGAGAAGGGCAGAGATTGTCCAACACCTCATTACACTCCAAATTGGGGTGTTAAAAAAGTGGACATTTGAGGTGTTGGGAAGATTGTTATTAACACTTCCTAACCTTTACTAACACTTCCTAACACCTCTTATTTTTTCTCCCAAACAGGTGTCAATATCAACACTTGCTAACACTTCCATTATTAACACTCTCCAACACTCAATCCAAACAGGCCGTTAGGAGAACATCTTAAATCAGTGGAACTAGTTTGAGCTTCCATTAACTCATCCTAATCCATAGCTCTGTATCTAGATAACCATCAACAAAGGAGTGCAAATACATGTAACAAATGCTGCTAACTTACCTCAATGTCAACCCCTGAAGGATCAGGAAGAGAGATCATAGAGAGGTGAAGCTCACCAGTTTGTGTTTTATGCCGTTCATATTCTAGAAGTGCCTAAATTAGGAGGATATAACAACTCAATGTAATGAAAGTTGAAACTAATGGAACAGAAAAAATATTAATGCAGCAAAATATGAATGGCTTCAAGCACCAGTTCCAATATGCAATATGTAATTCTGTTTCTCGCAAATTCCAGGGCATAGAAGCAACACGTGTAATTCAAATGTGGGACAAATAATTTTGAAGTGTTTGTGAAATTCAAATGTTCATATTTTTAACCTAAAGCTACCATACGCAAGTAAAAAATATCAATATAATTCATGAAAAGTCAAGAACATTATTGTTGATATTTGAGAACAATGAGAAGATTAACATAGCATCAATAAACTAAACCAAACCAAACAAACCCATTAAGTGGCACTCAGAACTAGGTCCAGATGAGGGAGAAATGAACATAGACCTTACCACTACCCATAGGGAGTAGAGCTTGGTCCCGTGAAAGCTCTTGCCTAAGCAATTTTTTAAGTTTCAAGTAAACCTTGCTCTTTCTACTCTATGTAGAAAACAAAAATGGTAACAATCCCGAGGTGCAAGTCAAGTTGAACATATTACCTTCTCATAGAAAATACGAAATGTCCACGATACGGTCGTGCAGGTTCTGTTTGACAGTAAATATCACATCAGTGAATTTGAAGTTGCAGCATCAAAATACTGATAGAGACCTAGATAGTACTACTAATAAGAATAATATTAGTCTTTTAATAATGTACAATAAAAGGGGCTTAGGCCCTGAATTAGCACTGGGCCGGCCCAAATGGAAAAGAATAAATAGGAGTTGGAGGAGTAGAATAAGGTAAGCAGAATTTTAGACTTGGGCTGGGATTTTTGGAGATATAGGCTGCTCTAAGTGCCTAAGCTTGTACCGTTTCAGTTCGGTTCTACATTACGTTCTTAATACACATCTATTTCCATCTTTCGATCTTTGATATCTAACAAATACTCTAGGCTCTCTCGATAATTGGAAGATAGTACTGACTCAGCAAACTAGAAACTTGTGATAGCCAATGTGTATTCTTTTAAGTAATAAGGCTATCAACTGGTTTACAAATGGTCCACGACAATAAACCGACCCCAATGAGTTGGATCTGTTATTTCTACAAGTCATGATGGAAACACAAATTTGGTTGGGTTTCCAGATTTCCACCCTAGAGCATGAAGAAGCTCTACAGCTTCATGACTAAATGTGGAACTTACACACACAATTGTATAGCAAGAAGTTTTCATTGCTTATTTTAATTTGATACATCCTTGATCATTGTGAACATAGGGTTGTTTGAACTCCTTATGCTAGGTCTAAGAGGCCTGCCCTCTACAGATCTCAATGATGCTTACTTGGGAGGGTTGAAAGACTCGCCGACTTGCCGCCACAACTTTGATCCAGTAACCTAAGCAAGTCCAAACCAGTACAATGCCAAGAATAAAAGACTCACTCAAGAAAACATTGCAAGATTATAATGTTTTGCTAGATGAAGAATCATAAAGCTGAACAAAGGATTCATATATAAGGCGTCAGTCCATTTCCTAGTAAGATCTCCCATTTTATTGGCTTAAGAAGAACACAACCAGATTTATTGCATGCATTATCAAAATCGAAGGGCCCCATATATGACAATTATTACCGTGTCATAGCCACCCAACCTTATTACAGCTTTCCATAACCTAAATCACCAAACAGAGAAGAATAAAAATAATAATATCACATGGAAAACATATGAAGAATTAATGAATTAAGCGCCATCAAAGAAGTACTTTAAACAATTCAGTGGCTGCCCATAAAACTTAGGTGGTTTAAAATCCATGGACCTCTCCCGATAAAAAGTTTCTATCTCTCCCATAAACAATGCTTGATCTTCTGCAGTCCCGTCATCGTTGTCATCATAATCCATCTAAAAGTAAAAGAAATGGAGAGTCATCATGAAAAGAGTCAGTGCAGCTTTCACCTGACATATTTACGCTTCCAACCCCCAGACACAATTCAAGATAGCCAAACTTACCCAGGTGATCATGTGAACATACCTTTCCATAATCAAACTTATTCTTGAACGTCTCCCCACTAATTTGTCCAGGTTTTGCAGATGCACATTTCACCAGTACATGTGGAGTAACAGGTTCTGGCAGCATTATAGGGACATGATTAAGCTTTTGTTTTGTTTCTGAAGCTCCACCCTGTCTAGCCTCTTTATCATCAATGACATCAGCAGAAGAAACTGTACCCTCAGCATTCTTATTTTCAACAATCACTATTTCATTTCCATTTTGAGTAATTTCATTTTCACCTTCATACGTTATGCCTTGCGTTCCTCCTTCCGTGTCCTCATTTGTGAGTCGTTTACCAAGCAATTGAGGAGTTTCACTAAGGATTCCTACCTTTGTGTCATCATCAATGGCATCATTGTTCATCAAGGCCACACTGAGTGCGAGCTTTCCATCCTTTCCATTATTAATTACATGTGAAAGTTCTTTTCCCTCCATGACATCATCCTTTGAGTCAATTTTTGTGATGTTTTGTTCTTCTGATTCATCGCTCTCCTCATATGCCTCACTCGTTGTGTTGCATTTATCCTCTATCTTTGTATTTCCATTGTGCTTCTCTGTTTCATCCCTAAGCTCCCATTTACCTTCCTGCTTGTTGTCTTCTCCCTCTATCGTTGCTTCATCATACTGCTCCTCTGAACCGCCGGAATTTGGTTCATCCACAGCAGCTATGGGAGGCAAATATGTTCCCTTGGGTTTAGCCTCTACATCAACTCTGTTCTTATCCATCCCTTGGTCATTGTTGTCATCTACACTCTGTGATTGCATTTCAGCATCTTCCATTCCTACATTGTTCTTATCCATACCCATACCTAGTTCCATAGAGTACATCACATGATGAATCGAGATGTCGAGTGAACTAACATTACAGCTTTAAGTATGAGCAGGAGATGAATCAGTGCAGAGTGTAAAAAAGTCTGAACAATGCAAGATGCTCCAAGATCATGCAGGTCAGCCAAGGATACGAGTTTTCTACATGTGGAGCCACCGACAAAAAACAAAGCACATAGTAATGTATATTCAGACAAAATTTAAAATAAAACAGAAACCCTAGTTTAGTTTCACGGAAGAACATGCACGAAGTAATCATGTACTATCGTATTTTATTAGCCGTTCAAGCTCAACTGCACCATGCTCTTGGAACATTGAAATTCAGAAAGGCAACATATCATCGTTTTAAAATTTAGAACAAGGAGCGAATTGTGAAAACAAAAGTGAGCATACAAATCAAATACATGCAATAAGAATGGAAGAGGTCAAGAGGATACCTACCTGAGTGCTGACCAGAACTTGGATCAGTTAGAAGATGAGCTGCAATGAAGGGTGGGGTTTCCTTGTATTTGCCGGGTTGGGACTTGGGAGTCAGTGTAGAATAAATTTCTGGAATGTATGAACGGGCGAACGGCAGGGATGCGGTGCTCGGGGGTAGAAACGTAAATTGAATGAAAGCAGAAAATGAGAATGTATGGAGGGTAGAGGGGACTAAAAACGAAAAGAAGATATAAGGGGAGAAATTTGGGTCCTTAGAGGTCGAGGGATGAAGACGACAACATCGGGACAGAAGAGACAGAGGCGCGCCCCTCTCTCTCGGCTGCGCTTCCTTTCTTTCCGGGGGTTCAAAAGCTCTACCCGTACCCGGTATGTCTTTTCTCCAAAACAGCTATGTTTTAAAAACCGGACCCGTGAGCGACCCGGTCATGTGACTGGGTCACGGGTCAACCCGGACCCAGAGGGTCAACCCGGTCAAAGCCGGAAAACCGGTCAACTATTATACGTCTATATAATAATAATAAACACATAATTATATACACTCATTATAAGTAGTATATTTTTATTAGTATTGTACATTTATATTTTAATTTGGCGTGATTTTCATTCTTAAATAAATATATAAATATATTACATAGTTTTTCTTTTTAGGAAATTGAAATTGCAATTTTATTGGTTTAAAAAATGCATTAAAATTAAAAAGAAATTACTTTTTTTTTTGGAAAAAGAGCGAAAACCGGGGTTTTCGGGTTTCTTGGGTCTGGGTCCGGATCGGGTTTTTTCGAGTGAGCCGGGTTTTTCAGGTTTTTGACCATTTTCGGGTTTTGAAGAAACTGAACCGGATTTTTGTCCGTGTCACCGGGTTCCGGGTCAACCCGGCCGGGTCGGGTCGGTTTTTTAAACATAGCAAAAAAGGAGAATCTAGGTAGCCCCGCCCCAAACGGCCAAACCTACATGAAGGTGGGAGGTTAGTCAAAGACTGAGCCGGCCCAATGGGGTAGGTCTTTTACCCGTGTGCGGGTCTAGTCTTATTTCAGGTTCTGTGATCTCCACACGGCTGTTGCGAATTTCGAACCTTGGTCATTCTCCAAATTTTCCCACCACCGAATCAACTGAGCTACCCGTGCGAGTACCGGTATATCTTTATCTTTACCATAGTAGTGGGTATAATATGGGGTGTTTGGAAGCTGGTCCCCCCATCTTCTAAAAAACTGATTTTAGGAGTAAATTTGAGCATCAGAATCACTTCTGCACTGTCACCCAAACACTCCGACTTCTGATCCTGCTCTCTGAAAGAGCAGAAGCAGTTTTAAGAATCAAATCCAAATACCCTTATATTAATAGTACGGTAGTACCATGCCATTTGATGGAAACCATGTTTTTCAATTAAATTACGAAAATGTCACCGACTGTAAGGTACTCACCGTGTAGCCGGCTGTATGATATACGAACTCGTAGTCATGCCACTGTTCTTTTGATGTATATTGTGTATGCATAAATTTATTTAAATAATGTAAAATAACTTTTCTAGTTTTGTAATAGAGAAAAATAATTTAAATATCCCAAACTTTTTTTTTATCATTAAATATCCCAAACTTTGAAGAGTGTGAGATAAGTACCCCCAAACTTGCATATGTAATATATATACCCCAAACTTTATATAAAAAAAATTATGTTCGCATCATCAAGTGTTTTTTCATAAATGTAATTTTATGGTGTTAAATTCACAATACAAAATAAAATACATAAACATTTATGAGGATACAATTAAAAATAAATTGCACCGGATGTAATATTATTTACTCCCTCCGTCCCATAAAATTCTTCCCACCTTCCTTTTTGGGCTGTCCCAAAAAATTCTTCCCACTTACTAAAAAGGAAAGTTTCCCCACCTAAAAACCCCCTTATACCCCTCTTTATTTTTTACCTTGCCACTTCCGTATCCTCCCACCCCTATACTCTCTGCGGCCTATCACATCTAACCCTAATCAACCCATCTCCCTCTCTCTCTTTCCCAGTTCCGATCTCCCTCTCCTTCAGTCTTCCACCGGCTCCATTGTTGTACGGAATAAAACTCTCTCCTTCTCTGCTTTCAATTCCACTAGCTCCTTCGTCGTCTGATCGTTGCTCCTTTTCTGAAATTCCCAAACCTTACTCTGACTTCCATGGATGCAAAATCAAGCCCTAAAACCCTTGGTCAAGATCCGGTGGAATACAATCAATGCATGGAGGATCTTGTGGTTCCAGATAGCGAAGAGGAGTTGGATGATGTAACACCGTCCCCAAATGTATTTACTTTTAAGTGAATATTGTATTGAACCTTATGAAATGGTTAATGATTATACGAAGTTGTGAATTTTATTATTTTTATTCGCGTGAATAGTAAATTTCGTGCGGGGCCCACACTGGGGGCGGGGGCCGCCCGATATTCCCGAGACCGTATATTTTGTTCATCTTGGTCGATATCATATTTACATAGAGGTGGATAATGTATTTGGTACAAAGAAATGGTATAGAGTTGACCGATCGATCAAAAAGGCCAAAATACCGGTACTGGTAATTTAACAGATAAAAGCCCGAAATGAATATCGGGAATTTATAAATCAAAGTTGGGGGATGTAAATTCATTATAAGGGTCATAATGATTAATAGCACATAATATATTTTATTTGACCCGATAAAATAAAATATATTTAAAACAGTCCGAAAAATACAACTTTCGGGACCGATTGTACACTTCGGGACGAATTGGGATGACCTCCCACATGGGTGGGGGCCACCCCACGAAATTGTCAACCCAAAGGGGGCTGATTGAGTGCTAGGAGGGCTGGAGGACAAGTGAAAGGATGGGAGGAACACCTTTGACACCTAGTGGACCCCCATTTCCTTGCTCATTTGCAAAGAAAGACAAAAGCAACTATCCTCCCTCCTCTCCCACTCATTGAGTTCGGCCAAGACACACCAAGGGAAGAAGAAACCTCTGCAAACCACCATCCCCCATAGCAAATTCGAGCTCAAGCAAAGGAGTTCCAAGGAGGAAGATTAAAGAAGGAAAAAGCTAGGAAAAAGTGTGAAAATTAAGGTAATGACCTTATCATAACTTTTCCTCTATTTTTCTTCTATCATATGAGATATATATCATATGAAGAACCTTGAGGGTTGTTCTACATAATTTAAGTGTAGAATAATGGGTTGGAGAGTGGTTCTAAGTCCAAGAACGGATTTAGAAGCCAAACCGACAAGTTCACCGGAAAATAACCTTTTAGGGGTTATTTGTATTGATTAAGGTTTTATGATGTTAAAACCTTGTTAGGAACTTGATTAAAGTATTTTTGAGCTTCGCCGGAGTTTCGCCGGAGTTGGTCAAAGTTCGCCGGAGTTGGTCAAAGTTCACCGGAAATTAGTCAAAGTTCAACCGGAGAGCGTAGAACGCGCGTGAGCTCACTTAAGGTGAGGATGACCGACTATATTGCTTATAATTATTGGGTTAATTTCATAAGATTACCTAAATGAATTATATGTGTTTGGCATGATTTATTTATAATATAAAAAAATGCCTAAATGAGATTATTATTGTTTATAAGTAAAAGTGCATAATATACAAATTTATGAATAAATTGTGTATGATTATGTATTATGAATACAATGGTATAATAGCGTGTAAACTATAAATGAATTGTGATAAATATACTTTTACCTCATGTAAGGAAGTCATGGAAGGATAAAAGTGATATTTTGATATTAGAACCAAGTTATACTTGAATGTGGAATTAAATTGAAATAGCCAAATTACTATGAAATTGCACTGGCTTATTAAGGTTAAATGACTAGTATAGAAATACTAGCCGGGGATGTTAGCATGAAAAATGATAGAACAAATCCTAGGGGTTTGGATTGTGAAAGATGTACCTTAAGTAGTCATATGAAATGTCTTAAGGTAGAAATGAGTAAACGCTAAGTTACCGTAGGAGTGGATCTTGAAGGTTACTCATAGTAGAGGAACTCTAGGCATAGAGATTGCTTAGTGAATTAGTATCGTGACTAGAGGAAGCCTCGAGCACGATGAAGAATGACTGGAGGAAGCCTCCAGCATTCGTGTAGGACGACTAGAGGAAGCCTCTAGCGTAACGTAATGTGACTGGAGGAAGCCTCCAGCACAACGTATGTAAGGTGATTAGAGGAAGCCTCTAACACCAAGTGGAGTGACTAGAGTCAGCCTCTAGCACGACAAAACATGACTAGAGGAAGCCTCTAGCATGGTAAACTAATATAGATGGGTGTGGCTTGAAGTCACGGGGAAAGGGTTAAATGTGTCCAAAGTAAACATGGGCCTTCGGGCGATTACTTGACTATATATATAAAGTAAGTATACTTTCAAAAGAGGGTAACCACGGGTTATGACCTATAATATAATAACATCCTAGATTGAGGGTCTTGGAAATTGAAACTTTGATTATACTTAGTATAGTTGTCATTGTACTTGTCAAATGCTTCCAAGTACTGACCTCCCCTTCACGGGGGAGGCCACCTCACAGTTTCAGGTAGAACTTGAAGGGTGCTACCATCACCGTTGCTTCGGGCGGATTATCAAGGAGAGGAGACGTGGTTCGTGCTTCCTCCGTTTCTGTTTTAAAACATTCAAATTAATGCTCATGGATACTATTTTCCGAATAATTATTTAGGGCTTGCACGCCCGTGTTTGCCACGTGTGGCTCGAATGCTTGTATTAATATTTCCGCTGCTTAATTAAATGATTTACATTGTGATTGTTTATGGATGTACTAATGTGAATGGTATTCAAGACGCCTTGTATAGTATGGATGAGTTGGACTGCGGTTGACTATTCGTACTGTACGGCGGGTTGTTGACGTGTCCGGGAAGGTCCGGGGCGTGACAATTTAATTGGTATCAGAGACTTAGTCCGTAAACTTCATAATGAAGCTTCAAAATTCCTTTTGAAAAGAAATTGAAAACCATGAACATAAAGTTTTGTACTTTTAGAACTTTTGGTACTTGAGTTGCAAAGTCTCTAATTGTTAAGATGGTACCCTTAACAATTGGTATGACGGTGATTTGAGCCAAAGGATGTCTTTAAGTGCCTATCCGTCACTTGACATTTGATACGGGTGTAACACCGTCCCCAAACGTATTTACTTTTAAGTGAATAATGTATTGAACTTATGGAATGGTTAACGAGTATTCGAAGTTGTGGATTTTTATTAATGCTTTTGCGTGAAAAGTAAATTCGCACGTGGGGCCCGCACCGGGAGCGGGGGCCGCCCGATATTCCCGAGACCATATATTTTATTCATTTTGATCAATATAATGTTTATATAATGGTGGATAATTTATTTGGTCCAAAGAAATGATATA